GCTTATATCCTACCTCATCTCCAGCTATTCATCCCTAAGGTCTCCTATAGATCTAAACTTCAGCTCAGCTGGCGGTATCAAGTGCACTTATGCACAGGAAGAGTCTTCCAAAAAAAAAAAATAATAATAAAAAAACACCAAGAAACACTTCCTACTCACAGGCTTCAAAAATACTCCAACACTCTTCCAGACGTCCCTTGGATAATTTACCAACCCAAGGAAATCTGTGCCTGAGGTCCCAATGTTTTCATTTGTGCAAGCCTCAGGCCAGCCTCTGAAAGCTGCTTGGGTCTTCCTTGCACTTCTACGTCCAAGTGATGTACAGAATAAATATACATCACTGCATCTTGCCATGAGGTGACCTAATCGGTGTCTGTTTCTCTGAGCAAATATTCATGATTACAGTGATACCAGTCACAACAAGAGAGAGAGGTTGGGAGGACCCCTCTTAACTTTGCACACCTCCTGAATGGTTTAAGGTTCAACAACTAACACTTTTTGTCTTTCTTGTCTGGGAACATTTCAGTGCACCTTCCTCCTGATTTGATGTCCTGCAATGAAACCCATGAGCTGGAGTGAGTGCAAAACATTTTTGTCAGAAAGAGATTTCCAGTCCTGAAGAGCTCCAGGTCTCGGTTTCATTTCAGTTTGAAAAATCTCAACAGCAGTAGCTGCACATTCACAGAGTGCCAGAGGAGTAAAACAAGCAGAAAGAGAAGTTTGAGACTGGACTTGGGTGGCACACGGTCAGATAAATGTTCTCATTGGTGCCGCTTATCAAAGCAAGAAAGGCAGATGTCAGCTGCTTGCAAAAGATTGAAACTATTTTGCAAGTTCCTGAGGAGGAACAGGATACGTAAACTCAGTTCAGATTTCAGAAGGCTGAAAGAAAAAGCAAAGCCCCAAAACTACAGGGGCAGTTTGGGAAGAAGACAGACCATCATTACTCATTTACTGGAAGAGGGAACCTTGATCATGATACAAACAAATTGTGCTTGGCAAGAATGTAGATAAACCAGAAATACTACGCTTTACACTGGTTTAGAAAGCCACCAGAACTCACCAACTTACTCACAGCAAGTTGTGTCTAGAAAACAGCATTTTGAGTACAGCTTGACCCTCAGGGAGTACCAAACATTTTTATTCTCTTCTTGAAGTAACTGAACAAAAGATGGAGGAAAAAAAAAATAAAATAAAATAAAAAAGCTAGTTTTTCTGAAAACACTAGCAAAAATAGCCTTCTCAGCACCTGGTCCCAGAAAGATCAACCAGCAAATCAGCCATCCTCTCAGGATGTCTATTAGGTCTTATTCCCTCTGACCTATGTCAGCTGGTGGATTTTCAAACTATTGTTCCTCTAGCTCACTAAACACAGAGGATACACAGCTCTTGAGTTGTCTCATGGTTACAACACTTTGCAATTTATATATATATATATTTTATTATATTTATTATATATATATTATTTATATATATATAAAATTTCTGTGCAGTATAATATCAGCAGTCTTACAGAAAAAGCTGACTGTCTGTTATCCTTTTGACTATCCCCAGGAATATCTATCTGTTGCCAAGGGTTTAGGAGAAGACTGACTTTCAGCAGGCCAATATATGCACAGGTCACCTGAGTACCATGGAGCTAGGATATGGCTGTGATGCTAATGCAGGTCTCTCTGCAACATGCTCCATTCTTCAGGGTAGACAAATCCTATGGGAGCTACTGCACGGGAAGATCCCTGCAAGACAGACTCAGCCAAGGGGAAAAGGACTGAGCAAAGGGGCAGAGAGAGGAGGTAAGAAAGAGGCAAGCAGAGGAGCAATGGAGTACAAAAGACCTTGAGGCTCTGATGCCCACCTTTGAGCACAGTTTAGCCCAGATTGAAAAATTGAGGGAAAGAAAACATGGAAAAGAAGAAAGACTTCTTTCACTGTGGGACTGCTACCGTACCTACAGCTGCAGCATCTCCTCCTTGTGCCAGGTATGAAACAGGCAAATCCTTGAAGCCTCGGAGCCAACCACACAGTAGCAGTTCAGGAGATGAGTTCCTCCTAGGACAACCGGGAGCTGGGCTGAGTTCATGGACTAAATGCCAGCTTTGCTCCAAGAGCAGCACAAGCAGGCAAAGCAAGGGCTCAGTTGTGAAAGATGTGGGCTCTTGGTGATGATATGACTGTGCTGTTTACAGGAAGCATAACCTTGTTTGCCATGTTCTTAGATTGCTGGGAATGAAGACTGAGCATTGAGCTCATTGCAAGTGCATCTATTAAAAAAAAAAAAAAAAAACAGACTCTTATTTACAGCCAGTTGCACTCTAAGAACAATGTCATCAGGAGGAAATAATCCATACTGCTGGTGTTATTATAAAACAACGCCCCTACACACAGGTGCACATCTTAATGGGAGGTATGTGGTTTTTAACTGATGCATATCGCTCTGAAACCTTGTGATTCATGGGTTTTGACTTCCTTAATTAACTATTTTATTATTATTATTTTCTTAGTTAGCCACATCATGATTCTCTAGTTAGAATAAATCTTAACCTAAGCTGCCTGCATGAGTGCAGGATCTTACCTGGCATACCACTGGTAGCAATTTAGAGGAGACAACCTCAAGCTTAATTTTCTCCCAGCAAAACCAGTGAGGACGCTACCGCCCGTTACCTTTATTGAGAGGGAGAGAATTTAGGTCAGAAGCAGCAACTTGGGTGTGCAGTGTGTGACTTCCTCGTCAGCGGTTACTGTAACCGGAGGACTGGTGTTATGCAAGAGCGCGCAGAAAACGCGTTGACTGGTTTGCGCGCCACCACATGAAGAGCGCGGCGGTCATAATGAAACAGCCACTGCCACAGATGAGTGCTGATGCTTGTAACTGAATGAGAGGGTTTCTCCACCTGGCTTGTTTTCCTGGGGTACATAGACACTCAGTGACCTCCAGGACAGGGAATAGAGCTGTTGTCTGTGTCCAGCAGCAAGGGACACTTGGACTGACCTCTATGATCTTCATGGAGTTGTGGGAGGGAAGTAGGATGCCTCCAAGAGCATCCTTGCACCAGGCACATCTAATTCAAAGTGTCTCCACTGATCCTGGGCAAAGTGCTCTAGAAGACTCCACTGGAGCAGGTGGTTGGACTACATGATCTCCAGAGGTCCCTTCCAACCTCAACCATTCCGTGCTGCTGTGACTAAACTGGCTGCAGATACTTAGATGGAGATCAGCTATGGGCAATTTAAGGCAGTTGGGGACAAGTTCAGGGCAACCAAAATGTATCCTAAACTGAAATATGATGATGCTCACGGACAGGTTTACCTTGGTTTAAATAAAAGCAGGCAACAAAATGCAGATTCAAAGTTTTTGCTGGCAGAAACCAGTCAGAGGAAGGGTCCCAGCCTGGATGAATAATGTTGAAAACAGCAATTCTACAGCAATCTGATAGAGGGGGAAAAAAAAGAAAAGGAGGGGGATAGTGAACCAGGCTGCCAGGCTGCTCACAGCTTGAGCTGCCCACTGGTATCAACATCATCCAAGAAACTCAATCAGGGTGGAACAAGACAGGGCAGAGGGGCCTCAGACCCATCGCCTTCAGCCAGTCCATTGTTATTAACCGTGTTCTGTAGATGCAAGTAAGCACTGCCTGTATAGCCCCACTTCACTGTTTTCAGCCCCTTTTTGCATCTTTTCCTTTATCTAAATGGCAATATCTCTTATGCTCTCTCTTACTCGGCACCCAGAAGAAGCCTGATCTCAGCTGAAACTTCCTAGTGCTAAGGCGTTACCAACTAGATTTATGCTTCCATTTTCTTTCTGAGTTACCACAAAACAACATTCTTTTAAATAGAAAAAAAAAATAGACTAATTTTATTCAGTAGATAAGTTATTGAATAAATACAGATAAACATTTACTGTTTTATGGATCTTCTGAGCACATATAAGGTCATAAATATAGTCATAAATAGAAAAGATCAATATAAATATAAACATCCTTTGCTTTTTTATATTTATATAAACACTCTCCTTTTTTATCATTCAAGTCAAGCAGACTCAACTCTTTCTCAAATTGCTCTGGAATATGTCAACTATTGCCCCCATTGAAGTCAATGAAGTTGAAGTGACATAAACCCAGAGTACAGTCATAATCAACTCTGGTAGCCTTTTTTTTTTTTTTTTTTTTGACAGATTTATACTAGAAAAAAATCACCAGTGATGGTAGAAGGAGGAAATAGGGTTAGAGGAGAGGAAGGGAGCAAGAACATGCAGGACTTACAATTCCAGTTAAAATATATATGTAGGGCAATTGACTGTAGAGAAGAGCTTTCAATAGTATAATTTGTTTGGTTTGACAACCTGATATAGGCTG